GCAATGCATGCTGGGGGCACCCACACCCCCTGCGCATGCATACATGACCCCCCTCATGTGTCACGCATCTGCGCGTGACTCCCTCCTCACGTTCCACGTGCATCCCCCTCTGCCCTCTGTGCATGCACGCAAGATACCTGTCAATCAGCTGTCGGATGGCAGTGCATGTGCACATGTGCAGTGGGGGCTCTTCTGGGCAACCTCTCACGTGCCGGGGAAAATGGCTCTGCGTGCCACTTCCGGCACGCATGGCATAGATTCACCAACATGGCACTATGGTATGCAATGACTGTGTTTAACCAGCTTATTGAATTAATCCACATCCAGGTTGCTCAACATATAAGGAATCAAGCTAATCAGATTTTGGTCAGAAAAAAATAGAACCAATACCACGCTTCCCCGAAAATAAAACCCTGTCTTATATATTTTTTGCCACAAAAAAGGCACTAGGTCTTATTTCGGGGGATGTCATCCACTGGCTAACCTCACTTACATGTGTCACCCCCGGCCTCCTTCTTGCTGTCAGAGGCCTTCAGAAAGTTCTTCTTCTGCAGCCTGCAAGGCTTTCCTGGAGGCCTCTGCAGCCAATAACAGAGCTCCAGATCGATCCGGAGTTTTGTTATCAGCTACAGGGGCCTTCAGGAAAGCCTTGCCAGCCTTGCCAGCTGCAGAAGAAATGGGCTGGCAAGGCAGGTGTCGGGATGTGCAAGGCCTGGCTGCAACTGTCCAAAGGTAAGTAGTAGGCCAGCTCCACGTACACCTCATCCCCACCCTAGCTTAATTTTGACCTGTGCACCCTGGAGTGGGCGGGATCTTAATTAGGGCTTATTTTGGGGATGAGGCTTATATTGGACGCATGTGTAAAAATCAAGCTAGGGCATACTTTCAGGGTAGGTCATATTTTGGGGGAAATGGTATTAACATGAAGTAAGTTTAGTATTTGTACTAATTCCAGTATTTGATCATCTGATCAAATTAAGTGTATTATGTGAACAGAGAGATTTGGCTGTTAGCACCACAAGTCTAAGCCTATTCACTAGTATGGCATTGTGCATATTTACTATATAATCCAATGTGATACTTTCAAGACTTCTTCTGATGAGGTGGGAAAAAACATGTTTAAAGTTTTTGAAAATCAGGCTAGTTTACAAAACACGATACTAGGGGTGATTTGAGTTGGTAAAACATCTCTTTTGTAATACTTTGGGACTTTTTATTCTAGTATGACGCCTTTCCTGGGGTTACTTAATAATCTCATCCATTTCATTGTGTGCTTTCACATAAATAGCCTCTTTCAATTATCCTAGCAACTACAGTACATCATGTGAAAGTGGATAAAATGGCAAGAGGCTACAGCGGACTGCCAATCACTGATGTTTTGTGTGTTCTTTTTAATTATTTCATATGAATTTTCTCTCAATTTTCTAGTTTCTAAGTAACTCAGATGAATCACTCTAAAAGCAGAATTTACTGTAATATAAATTCAATTTATATTATAACAGCTTGGGTCCTGGAGTTGTGGGTGCACCATCAGTGAGGTTTCTAAGAAAATATTGGAGAACTGTTTGTCTGGGATGATATAAAGGGCACCCGCCATAGGCAGGGGGGTTAGTCCAGAAGACCTCCAAGCAGGGGTGGGATTCAGATTTTTTAACAACTGGTTCTTTGGGCATGGCTAAGTTGGTGGGCGTGGCTTGGTGGTGATGTTATTGGTTGGGTGTGGCCAACTCAATATCACTCACATTGAGGCAGGCATCTCCTCGCCTGGCCTCTCATGACTGTGGGGATGCTGCAACAGTCGTAAATGTGAAAAATGGTCATAAGTCACTTTATTCAGTGCCATTGTAACTTTGAATGGTCACTCCACACAAGCAAAGTACCAGCAAAGGAGGAGGAAAAAACTCCAGAGACATTCCTGAGACAGGAAGTCTAGTCCTGCCAAGAATGTAATAAGGGTTAACGGAGAGGCACAGGATTAGGCCAGTAAAGTAGAAAAAAACAAAAGGATATTTCTTCTAACAACCAGTTCTCCAAACTGCTTAGAATGTTAACAATCCGGTCTAGTGAATAGGTGCGAACTGGTAGAATCCCACCCCTGCCTCCAAGGTCCCTCCCAGCCCTAGGATTCTATTGTTCAATTTAAGTTATATTTAGTTGTATCCTGTTCCTCCTATTTCTTGTAAATCTACTTTAAAAGTGTGATCCATGGCATGCTATTCAAACTTCAGATACATTTATTGAATCACAAAAGAATACATACTCTGGTGTATACAGTGATACCACTTCAGATATATTCTACATATAAAATCTGACCAAGTATTACAATAGCAATGCCCCAAAAGTAGGAGATGAGGTTTCTCTGAACAACCTTCCTTGGCGCATCAAGGAAAGAACATCAACTCTTACATGAATAGTTTCCTTATCAAATATAATATCTTAGAAATAGAAGCTTTTTCTTCAGCCTTTTTATTATTGAAAAAAATTACAAAGGAGAGGGGGGGAATTATAACAGCAGTGTCACAATGCAAGCTCCACCCCTGTGTGCAGGTATTGTGATATCACATGCATATAAAAAGGGAGGCAGATGTTAACAATGTGTCCAATCTTGTAGATTCCTCCAATTACCGTACAACAAAGGTAGGGATGTCAGTTTAGATTCATAGTGTCAACTGAATTAAGAACTTTTTAGCTATGCAACTTTATGTGCAATAAAATGCAACATTAGTTACTTTGTATTCCAGCTTTAATGTGCCTACCAAACATAACACTCAAACCTATTTATAAAAACAGTTGTGGAGTCCTGGGGGCTCTCCGTGTAACATCAGTTTAATGAATGGGATTTGCTCACCCAGAGAACACCAAGGAGTTAACGGTTCAACTCTGAGCTACATTTATTCTCTTCCATTATTATTCAATTGTCATTCAATTTACAGTTTTATCCCATTGTTACAGGATACTATTCTTGCTAGCAGGATTATTATAGCAGGGAAAAGGCATTCAAAAATGACATTTTCTCACTGAGATAAATTGTGCAAATCTCTCTTTCTTTTTCCTGTCATACCAGCCAGTGGCACTTGAAATGTCACAAACTTGGGCAAACATCAGAGGTTGGTACTCAGTAATATTGTTAATAAGTGTCATAGTTATCTTGCTTCTGCCAAGCTCTGCATCACTTTATGAATGTTTTTTCCTGATTGTTGAAAAATTGTTTTCCCAATCTGGTTTTCTCCAGATATTTTAGAATAATAACTAGAACTCCCAATCCATTCCAAACACAAAAATCTTGTCTTGTTGGAAAAGGTTATTTTAAATATGGAGCAATTCTCATCACATTAATCTGCATGGCTTTAAATATCAGTTGTCTCTAAATCTGTTTCTCCTAAAGAACTTCAAACAGTTGTCCCGCTGCTATAGAAAAATCATCATCATAAGGGCCACTCACCAGGCATGAATCCCTAAAGTTAGACAGATAAATAGCTAGCCTTTTAAATACATTCTAAAGCAGGGGTGTCAAATTCAACTTCACTGGACTGTGGTTCACCTTGGGCGGTTGGGCAGGTGTGGCCAACTGGGTGGGCATGGCCAGCTTGATGCCAGTTACTGGGTGTGGCTGACTGGGTGTGCATGGCCAGCTTGACACCACTCCCTAAACTGCTGGCATGTTTCCTCTTTGCATTAGGTAGACTGGGCCAAAGCCACACTGGCCCAATGTTTCCTCTTTGCATTGGGTAGGCCGGGCCAAAGTGATGTGGGCCAGCCCCTTATATTTTCCAGGACAGCCCCACAGCCTGGATCTTACCACATCGTGCACTGCATCCGGCTCACAGGCCTTGTTTGACACCCCTGTTCTAAAAAATATGTGCATTCTTTGACATAATGCACTGTCCCAGTATCCTTTCTGCAGAATTAATCTGTTCAGAGATAGCAATGTCCTTATTTTTTCTAATTCAGATGTTATGTTATATGTTCAAACGACATACATTCAGTGGTGTGATACAACCGGTGTAACCAGTTCAGTGATCGTGTGCTTCACTATTGCTATTACTAATCCCAAACCTTGGGTAAACACATCATGGAAAATCAGGCTCAAACAAAAATATGTAAAGGGGAAAAGGCACTCTGGAACCTGTTGTCCAATTCCAGTTAAACATGAGTATAATTACAGGAGTTGTCAATCAGAGCTACACCTGCATTCACCAGCACTTCAGACATCTTTATCCCTTTGACTGCCAAATGTACCAGTTAGTCATGAAATGGGAACTACCAAGCAGAAATCTCAAAAGTTGCAGGCTGGAGTGAGAAGCTGAATAAACGGTGGGGGGGGACACTTCCTGGGTGGGAGGGTTTCATATTCTATAGCTCCCCCCAGGAAGTCTTTGGAGCAAATGCGAGAGCTTGGTGGAGTGGGGGGAGATGAGCGAAGAGCTCTGGGGGCGGGAGAGACGCAACTTCTGGGAGATAGTTCAGTGTCACAGGAGAGGCAGCAGCGAGACTGGTCAGAAGGCTCCTTAGGAAGGAATAGCCCCACCGCCTTTCCCCACACATTCGAGGAAAGAGGGAGAAGAAACAGTCATCAGTGGGGCTGCTCTTTTAGTAACCGCTCTGGAAGCCTGTTGGAAAAGCTGCTCTAAAGTTGGCGGAGAGGCAAGAGGAGCCGGAGTCTGGTGCCGGAGCGAAGTGGGCCCACAGGCGGGCGGAGCTGAACGAGCTGCGGGGATGTCTCAATCAAAGCAAAAAGAAGCGGCGGAACGCGGGGGAGCCTCGAAACTGGGTGCCGCGTTTCGATCGAGCTTTTTCTTTTTCGTCAGGCCGGGCAAGGCTGCGCGCGGAGGTTTCGCCAACGGGAACGTTTCCCTTCAAACGTTCCCTAAGTGGATTATAGCCCGCTCTGGTGGGCTGCGCGCCGCGGGAAACGGCCAAGGCTAAAGTGGAAGTCGCCCTCTCGGTCTCTCGCCGAGGACGAAGTGAATGAGAAGGCGAAGTTCGGCGTTTCCCTCGGAGGCTGGAGTTCAAGGAAAGGGAAAGAGAGAGAGACCGACCGGCGGAAAGAGAACTGCTGCGTCGCGGCTGAGCAATCGGCGTGGGCATGACGGCTTAACTAGGAAACTAAGGCTGGGCTCGGAAGAGACGGCCGTTTCGATCCCGAGATTCGCCCACAGTTGCTGACCGCGAGGCAGGTTAGGCCGCTCTCTATTCTGCCCCCCGAAGTGCCCATAAATCTCGCGGGCCTTTTCGCTATTTTCTCTTCCAAGCTCCGGGCACGTGTCTGTGTTGAGATAGCATCCAATTAAAGGGAGGCGCGTTAAGGCGAGGTCTGCGTTTCTCGGACAAAGGTCAGCTTGCGTCGGGGTTCGGCTCCTTAAACAAAAGACCGGAGGAGCGTTTTCTTCTGTCGGGAGCAAAGGGTTTGAGGTGGAGTTGCTGGGAAGTTTCCCGAAAGGGTGCTGAGGAAGCCGCCTCTTTTCGGATTGCTCATTGCGCGAAGCGGGACGGATGGATGCGGCGCTCCGGTTTGTGCTGAGGGAAGTTAACTAAATTCAGTAGCGGTTTCTCCAAGTAAGTGGTCATTTGAACTATTTTAGGTTTCCCAGCTCTACTACTTTTCCAAAACCTCGGAAAAGCTCCAAAATATACGACCTGTTTCTAAATACGTTAGCTTCCCTTCAACAGTTGCTCTCTCAGAGTTAAAAATACCTGCTGTGGGGGCAGAGCGTTTGTTTATCACGAATTGTTTAAGCTTTCATCTGGGAGCCTAGCTCATCAGAGTTACTTTTCTGACGCATGCTTATTTACACATTTAAGGATTGCAAGAGCAAGTAGCTGTTGCTTGGCAGAGATGTCCAGCTGCCTTGATTTATATGGTTTCAGTGGACCTGTTAACAAAGTCCATCCAGGGGGCTTGCTTGTTGCCAGGATCTACTGTTGACTCTGAATGTTGACAGGTGTCATTGAGTCTGATCAAGTGCTTGGGGATAGAGCTCCGTCCTGATAGTGACATTGATGCTTCTGTGGTGGCTCATTTTGAGAAGCTTATTCAGACAGAGCTTACTAGAAAACGATCTCAAGGAAGCAGTTAAACACACCGATATGCAAGTTGATTTGAGCAGGAAGAACTTTTATGATACATAAAGCCACTCTCTCTACCATTGGACTGCTTCTGGAAATTAATAGAAGTGCAAAATCCCTTTTAAAAGATAAAAAGAGGCTGGGTATATAGGGCCAGTTAATTATACCTCCAGAGGTATTAGAAGAAATATCCTTCTGGGTTCAGTTTAGGGATGGGTTTCTCCCAGTTCTGTCCACCTCTGTAGAACCAGTAGCTCTGAAGAGCAGCAGACATAGAACCAGTTCTGTTTCTGCTGATGTTTTTGCCCACCTGCCCAAACAGGCACTTTCCTGATCTTTATTTCTTGATTTTTCAACTTCAGCTGCTGAACGAGGCACAGCTGCAGTTATAAAAACAAGAAAAGAAGGCTGTTTCAAAGTCTGCTTCTCTGCAGGCAGCTGCTGCTGCTGATTTATAGGCGGGTGGCTCGCAGCCTGCAGGGAAGCTCGTAGTTAACCCTGTTGTATCCCACCCCTAGTTCAGTTCCAAGTGGGGGAAAAGAGACTGGAAATATGGAGGCTGTTTGGAAGGTTGCTTAATGGTGGACAGCAGGACCACATGGCTTGAAGCTCCAAAGAAGGATGATTACATGCTCCAAGGTGAAGGGAAAGAAAAGAAAAAGGCTGAGGTGCTAAGAGTGCCTGGGTTTTATAACCTTTGTTGGGATTTGAATTGGAGCTTGTATTCTGATTGGTTGTCAGACTCCCATGAGGCCATGCAGGGGCAACTCTGTAGGCTGTCCTGAGTTCCAGGCTTGGTTGGGCCTTGCTGAATCTGCACTGAAAGGCTTTTGGCAATTGCTATAGCTTTACCTGGAGATCTTTGTTATGCAAAATATTCTGGCCCAGGCCTTAATGGCCCACCCATTAACAAAGGTGGGGGTGAGCTTCTGCTTCTGAGGTGAGTTTCTGCTCTTGAGTTTCTACTCTTTTTAGAAGAAATATTCTGCCTTTTTAATATTTCCCAGGATATTTCATTTTTCTAGGAGAGGGGTGGGTGCTAACTTCCTACAGAGGTAAGGATATAGCCAAATTCTGGCTTATATCAACAAGCAGTGGACCCCAAAACTGCATGTCATATTCCAGTAGAACTCTGGGAGCTCTTTTCCAAATTTTATATGCTTGTCCTCAGTAATTGCTTGTACCCAATCTAGTAGTCAACTCTCAATCCAACTGACTTTCTGTATGTACTGCAGAAATCGAGAAATCAACCAAATGAAAGGGCTTAAAATTTCCAGAAGCAATCTTATTTCAGCTGAAATGCTTAAATGTTAATGTGAGGGAAACCATTCTGGCGCTGCTGTTCCCCTTTATTGTAAAACCAGTTTAACTTTTAAGTGATTGGAGCATAAGCAGACTTTATTTGCATCAATATAATAAAATGTTCAGTAAACGTAAGAACTCCACAATTGACAAAGTTATTCAAAAATAAAATGTTGAAGATAAAGTTAATATTAAGTACAGGAAATCAGGTAGTTAAAATAAATATAAGTTTATTGCATGCTAATGCTCTCTACAAGAACTTGAACTACTAAAGGTCAAAGTATATTTGCAGTAGATAAGAGTCAAGAAAATTCAAGGTGAGGCTGGACTTGGATCTCCTGTGGGTGCAAAGGAGCTTGAGACTGTTTGACTCCTTCCTTGGGCTCAGCCTGGTCATCTCCTGCAGTTTAATGCCAATGGTCAACTTTTTAGACCCACTGGAAATCTTTTTAACCTAGTGATACTATCATATTCTCTATTTGGCTTTAGGAGAGCCTGAAGATTCAGTATTGCTTTCAGAGCTTAGCCTGTAATTGAATAATTAAAGCTGAAGATTATGGTAACTAGGGATATACAAGCAGTAGTGTCAATGAACAGACTAATTGTTGTAAATAAAAACAGGTGCTGACTGGCTGCTGGATTTCACTGCCTGAAGACTAGTACATTTGTCCTGAGATTGTTTTTTTTTTAATAAAGTTTTATTTGAGTTTTCACACATACAAAATACAAATAAAACATCTTTTTTGAAAATAGCATGGTCCCGGGTTGAACTTCTTTATACAGACACAAAATTCCATGCTCCTTTTTGTGTTCTATTCCATATCTTATACTATTCTACATTTTGTATATAGTTTTTCCCCTTTCAATTTTCTCAATTTTATTTTGATTATCTCATCTCAATTCAAATCATTATATTTATACTTTTGTCTGTTCTGTTTCAATTTCATATTATCTTTTCTCATTAAACAAATTTTCTCCTGTAGTTACTAATTGGAGTATGACACCTTTATATCTTTTAATTACATCCATTCAACTTTTATTTAAACTTCAATATATACCTTAAGGTTATGACCTTCACTATAATACATAATACATAACTTCCAATCAAATTCTGTCTGGTACATTCTTATGATACACACTATATTCTTTAAAAAAAAAAAAAAGATTATAAATATATGTAATTATAAACCCTCATTCCATTCCAATTCAGTTCTATCAATAATCATTAAAATCTTAACATCTTCAAGACTTCTTTCCAATTAAATATCATACTTCCTTAAAGACACACATAATCTCCATAATTAATTTTTCCCTTATTTCTCTTCACATATGTTTTGTAAATCATTAAATATTCATTTTGTTACATTTATTTATTGACAAGCATTCCACTAAGTTACAATAACTATTTTATCAAACATTTTAATTATACATTGTTTCATATTTTCTAAAATTATTTCTGTTTCTAATATAACAATACTATCTTATGTACCTTTGTAGAATCCCTTTTTCCATTAAATTTTCACCCATTATCTCTAAATAGGCCCTGTTTCTCTATATTTTGTTTCTGTCCTTTAGAACTTCTTTTCCTTTCTTTCTTCCCTCTCTTCTTCTCCCTCCCCTTTTTACCCCCTTGTCTCTCTACTTCTAATTCTCTCTTCTGCATTTCCCTCTTCTGTTGCTTTCTGATTTTATACTTATTTTTCACTCTATTTTGGGGGGAGTTGTTTTTCCCAATCTTAAACTTTCCATTCTCTTTCTCCCCTTTCCTTTTTTTCCCCCACCTAAGATTACTTGTTCATTAAAGATGGCTTCTTCTTTGTCTCAATCTTCTTGTTCTACAGGCATTTCTTGTTGTTTCTCATAATTCCAAATCTCCATTTCTAAAACCTGAAATATGAAGCCAAAAGAACCTCTCCCTTCTTGTGCATCTTCTTTGTACTTTTTAAGTTCCATTTTCAGTTCTTCTAAAGGAGGAGCCATTTTAAACAGTTTTAAACAACCACCCGATTGATTTTAGTCATTCAAATACAATAACCAAAAATCCAGAAATCATCAAGTAATCCAAATAGTTCCAAGTTATTTCTTCTTATTTCTTTTTCCACTTTCTCTTCCTGGGGTTTTTGTTGCAATATTTCAGTTAAAATGTATCTTTTGGAAGTCTTGTTGAGATTTTGCTGTAAGTTCATTTTAATTCCAGGCAGTCTCCTTCCTTTCAGATCCTGCCCTTTTATTCTTTTTCTCTCCTTTCCTGTTTTCAAAAGCTTTCGATTATCCAGAAATCTTTATTATTCCTTTTTATTTTCAGCATTAAATGCCCATTAATGTCAAAGTGGATTTTTTTCCAATTTCTTGCTTAAGTCTCTTAGCTGTCAGTATAGGGAAAGGAGAAAAAAACAACCCAAATCTTTTCCCTTTTCTCTCTCCTTCGCAGCTTAAAAATCTTCTTAGGGAACAATGTTATTGTTTTTTTTAATAGTTTCAATTCCAGTGTACCTTTTTTGTTGCTTTTGCTGTTTGACCTGGTCAACCAACACTTTCTCTTCTTATCTTCCTCCTGCACATTCTTTTCCAGTCGAGTTCTTCTTTGTGGTGGCCATTTCTGACCACCGCTACAACCTCCTTCAGGAAAGGGAGTAATAGCCAGCTAAGGAGGAGAGATGTGGCTCTCCTGAACCCTGCAGGCAGTCACCTCCTTCTTCACCACCTCTAAGGGGTGGCTTAGCCCCAAAACCAGCCAGCTCGGGGCGCTCCAGCGGCAAGCATGGATCGAAGCCTCGCAGAAACGAGGTTTCGGTCTGTCGCCGAAGAAGCTCAAACCGGAAGTCCTTCTGAGATTGTTTTTATAGACAAGGAGATACGATTGTCAAATGGCCCTGAAGTCTTTTATGGTCAAATTGCTAGGTGGAGCTCAATTATTCTAAGCCCAACTTTGCATCATTTGAGTGTCTATTTCTGAATGCTCTCTTTCAACCAACAAGATATATACCTTATGCTGGAAGCAGAACTACTGAGAGTTGATAGAAGAGTAAAGTTTTTCATCTTCAAATACTGATGGAAATTATAATTTTACCCATTAGTTCTAGCCAGATGCATAACTACCTATGTACTCAACAGCCAGCTAGGTTAAGACACTGTCTGAATATTTTACAGTAATCTCTAATCCCATATATTTCTATCTGCTGTATGCT